CCTCGATACCGAACCTGGTAAATGTCGTTTTGCTGAACCATTTAAATTACCAGACGACCACGACCCCGAAGGCAAAACCGTGCCAGCTTGGTGGAAACCCTTACCTAAACCTGGTGAGGGCCAAGCTTCAGCTTCAGGTGGCCGTCAAGGCGCACACGCCAGGCCACCGCGACCACGATCCTTCGGCAACGTCGATCCGACATCCCGTGCCAGCAGCTACGACATGCTACGAGATGCCCCCGAGCGTGGAAACACGCCTTCTGCGTCTTCTAGCGAAGTGCCACAGGTAGCGGCCCGCCGCGGCCGTCTACAAGGCGTACCACCACCTCCAGACGCAGTTAACACAGGGGACCAACTACGGAGAGCTACAAGGAACCCTCTTGCCTCCACCGGCTCTGGGGCTCCACGACTACCCGACTGGACGAGATTCGACATCCAACACAGTCTACAGAGTCTCCGTAGTCACGAACCTCATGTCGTGAAAAAGGAACTCCGAAAACTGCATCTGCGATGGCATCATGCGAAGGAGCCAAAGATGAGGCTAATCCTCGAAAAGGTGGGGCTTGATAACGTTCGACTGAACATGATCAAGGAAGTCTGTGATACCTGTCGGGAATGTAGAGCATGGGAACGTCCAGGAAACTCAACACTACCATCGGTGAGCCTTCCTGGCAACTGGCTCGATGAAGGGGAAATGGACCTCATGTTTTACAAGAAACGGACCATATTTCATATTATGGATCGTTGTATTCGCCTGGCAGCAGGCCTAGAAATTTCCGACAGAGAACGTGACGCTATCATCGACGCCTACCACTATTGCTGGATTGCCTATCACGGACCCTTCAAAGTTTTATACTCAGACGGAGAAGGCGCCCTGAATAACGATGCCGCTAAAACCATGATGGCCAATAAGGGCACGGAACTTCGTATCCGAGCACCTGGCCAACACGCGACTTCAATTGAGTCACGAAACGGCATTCTCAGAGGCGTCCTCCACATGATTGAGGAAGAATTGAATAGACACAACATCCCTGTTGTATTCACTAGAGTATTGGCGGAAGGCATCTTCGTTACTAATGCGTTTACGTTTTATAACGGAGTATCGCCATATCAGGCACACACAGGACGTCAGCCCTCCTTCCTTCCTGATCTCGATACCCTTGACTTTCCCAAGGGACCCGGGACTTCAGGACACGAACGAGAACGTCGTGTAAGGGAAGTCAGCCTAGAAGCTATAACTCAGGCTACTGCTGTGGCCAAGACAAATCGGTCTCTTAGGGCTAGGACGACTCCTGATGGTGCTCGCCTCTACTCATCAGGGGATTTGGTCGACTACCACCGACCTACTGCCGCCAAGGACGACCATGGAGGCTGGAATGGCCCATTCCCGGTGATCCGAAATGTGCCTGAAAGAGGACATATTGTTGTCAAGGCAGGATCTCGTGAGGTAATTGTGATGTATCCTGATGCTCGTCACACACTATACATCGAATGTCTCCTCACACGGGAACTTGGCATGGATAATATGGCCATGCAAACCGTCCTTGCTTATGTGGCACACCTCAGCGCAGGGAAACCTGCCAAAGTTTTCGGGTATATCCCCGATTACAAGGGAAACCTTAATCTGTCAGACGACAGCAAGTTTCACCCGCGCGTACACTTAGCACTACAGTATCTCGTACGAAATTACTTCCGAGTAGAACATGTAGTAGCAGTTCGATTGGCTAAGAGTGTGTCAAGCCTACCTGCAGTAAAGTACGCCACCGGGTCTACGCTGATCCACTATGACAGCAACATCAGCCCGGCGTTCCATTATTACGAATGTGTGGGCACTGGCTTAGACATTTCTCAGATCACTGGTAGCACTCACTCCAGACTTATTCAATGCTTGACTTCACGTGTCCCTTCCTTAGGATTTCACGACGATTTGGCTAAATATCAGCATCCAAGCAACACGTCTGGAGAACACGAGTCGCCTGGAAACAGGCCTTCTCCAGACACACCAGATGCTTCATCGCCGAGCGAAGGCCGTCTGTCGACAATCTATGAGGAAAATGAGGAACACAATATCGAAGCTATGATGCTGGAAGAGTGGTACGACGAGCTACGTATGGACCTTCATCCTACGACGATTACCGATGATTATCTTTATTGCGTCCCAACAACTATGCTGCCCGACCAATGTGTTTTGGTTTCAGCATTTGTGGACGAAGATGATATTACATCATCAGATATGCTCGGAGACGAGCCGAAATCATGTGAATCCTGTCTAGTATCTCTTTGTTCAAACACAACCGACGAGAGCTACTCTCTAGACAGTGATGAATACGGTCCTTACGTTGAACTATGCTTTGCATCAGAAATGTCAAAAATAGTGCTGGATCAGACTCAACTTGCACAGCTCGATACCGATATGGTCGCAACGATGAGAGTATATGTATCCTCTGCTTCTAAACATGTTGTGGTTGTCAAAGAAGATGATCTACTGACCAAAGCCGACATAGCAGCACATCCTAAGGAGGTTAGTGAAGCCTTATATACTGAGCTCAAAATCTGGATTGATAACCGATGCTTTGAGATGTACGATTTATCCAAAGCTTCCAACAGCATGACATCCAGATACGTATACAAGTGGAAGTTCGTAAAGATGGGTACCGAGAACGTTAAAACCATTCGTCTCAGAGTGGTCCTTCGTGGATTTATGGATACTGAGGCTTTTGATGTGGAAACATTCTCGGGAACCGCCCGAAGGCAGTCCCAACGACTCCTGGCAAGCGGAGCGGCATGTCATCCAGAGTGGATCTTAGCATCCATGGATATCGATAAGGCGTTCCTAAAAGGTTTGACCTATGAGGAACTTGCCCATGCCACCGGCGAGGGAACTCGCATGGTTTGCTTTACTCGCCCACCAGGAAGCGCTCAGGTACTTCGTACCTTACCCGGCTTCTCATCCTACGACGAAAGTCGACGCTGTCTTAGATGCCTCAAACCAGGAACCGGTACTAAGGACGCTCCAAGAGCGTTCTCTCTCAAACTTCGTACGACCACACGAGCTATAGGACTTACACCGACCAGCTACGATCCTGAATCTGAATTCAGCCAAGACCTTCTGACGGCCAAACATGTCGATGACATTAACATGACAGGTCTAGAGAAAAATATAGACGACTATGTACAACGTGTCGAAAAGGTATCTGGCAAATGCAAGCTCAACAAGCACACATATTCGAACTGCGCCGTTCGCTACACTGAGAATGATCAGGGAGATGTGATCATGGACCAGGACGAGTATATGAAACAAATACGTCCTATCACACACCCAGAACTCACAGGAGCGGCGGCCGACGCCAAAGCCACGAAACTCATTGCCGACATGTTCGTCAGCCTGCGAGGAGCCCTCGCCCATGCCCTTCTTACCCAAATCTGGCTTATGGTATATGTGGTCTCTCTTCAGAAAATTCAAGAGCCCACCAATTTGCAAGTCAGACGTTTGAATGCTGTGACGCGAAAGCTGATCAGCAGTCCGAAACGCATCACCTTCCCTCGGATGAAGCCGACGAATGAAGTTGACATCCATAGCGATTCGGGGTATCGGAAGCTTACCGGGGAGGAGGATGACGAGACCAAGGGCTACGGCACACGCGGGGCCAACGCACTACGGCGAGGAAGCTCGCCCCAAGGCAAGTCCGTCGTTCACCTCTGTGACGGACTATGCAAATCACACCGATTACAGGTGAGGTCCAGTTATGCTGCGGAGGCACTTGCAGCCGCACATAACCTTGATGAGTGTTACCCTACGCTCATTACTCTCCACGAGCTTAAGGCAGGGGCTTTGACTCCACGACAACTACGAGACATGCGTGAAGTTGGAGGCCTTGCTATCAAAGTCTCTCTTACCATAGACGCCGAGTCCGTCTACAAATCTTTATCAAGCAGGGATCTCAAAATACCTACAGAACGGACTCTGCTTGGACATATCAGCTGGATACGTGAGCTCATGGATATAGGTATAGTACATAATGTGCAATGGTGTGATACTAGGGATATGACCGCAGATGGGCATACAAAGGGAAGCATCGATCGGGAGCTGCTTCTGGAAGTGATGTCAGGCACTCAGTCATTTAAATATGACGTGAAGCAATTTGTTCCCTTTCGGGGTCCCGAGGACAGAGACAAACCTAAGTCTAATCAATTTTAGTCTGTCCTTGTTGCCCTCGCGGTCCAGTTTGCCAGCACGGGCGCCTACTATAAAGGCGCCCCTTAGCTGCTCGGAAACGAGCCTTATATTTCACGCCTGGCAACGAGCCGGCTTCGTACAACTCAGGCTCTTTGCCTTAATACACATTTGCTTGGTGAGGTATGGCCTAATTTTGGCTTGCCTCTAACTGAGCCGATAGCCCTTCATTGTTTGAAGGGGCTGTCCTGTATTTGCGTGAAATACTTTGCGAGGAAACTCGCCTTACAGTCTGGTGTTTGACCAGACTGTACGCACTGTTTTCTTTTCTTTGCAAACAGTCGTGCGCGCGATCTTTGCGTGCGACTATGCTCTCCGTCTCCTCCCCTCCCGACTTTAAGGGTAGCTCTTTGGGAGATGTTACAGCATCGGGAGCATAGCTCGCGCGCCGTTGCCTTTGGCCCAAGGCACGCGCGCCCTATTTGCCCGGACACCGCGAGTGTTCGCTATGTGCTGGAAAGATCATTACATCGATCTTATCCTATCTTATCCGTCCACCCCTCATACTTTACCTTCACAGCAGAGCGATGGACGCAATTTGAGCTACCGGGCTCACTGTCGACTGGGCTCACTTTCGACTGGGAAGACAGGCGCGGGAAGAGGGGGAACCGAAGTCTAGGAAACCCCCGTCTTCCTTCCCATCCTGCCTGTTTCTTCCTCCCCCCCCTGGCCGAAAAAGAGCTCCAGCTCCTCGTCCTCCCTCCCGCCCCCCCCTCGGTGCGTTCGCCCCCCCCCCTCCTGGCCTGGCCGCCCCCCTCCCGCCGAG